AAACATCACTATCTGATACTCACAGTTTCATGGCGTCCGTGTCTGTTAAATCAAGGGCTCCGATTAAAAATAAAAGTTCTCGAAACTAAACATCAATTGAAATCAAAATTATTAGTAATTAGTAATAAATTAATAATACCAAAATGGATGGGCAAGTACGATACGTTACGTATGAATTCTTACGCGGAATGTATTACGTATTTACGTACCTCGTCCTTGTCAATCACYCCATTAGCATTTTTGTCGACATTATGCACTTTCAATGGTGCACTWTGTGGATCGACCATATGAACTTYGCTGTCCTCAAAACCTTCCTCTTTGGCCATGTTAATGATTTCCTCACATTCATCGTCACTTAGGAAATCTTCAATTTCTAAATTCAATGTAGAAAGTACAGAAAAGGTTGACAAACCGATTGAATGAATTCTGTTTCTAATTTTCCCAGTTTGAATATGTAATGTTATAAAATGACTTTCATATTAMGCGCGCTCTGATTGGCCAAAAAGCCGTGTTTGATGGGAGCATAATACACGCTCGCGTCATTTTTTTTCTCGGCTTTTTYTCTCATGACTATTTGAGCGCTTGTTATTTTATAAAACGCTTCGCGTCGTGCTTTCCTACGCTTCTCTCGTGTTCTCCCCACATCCCGCGTGTTTTTATCAGAGTATAATACACGGAAAACAGTTTTTTATTCCTTAATAATAGCAGGTATATCTTATATTACAAAATKTAATGTCTATATTGTTTTGAAATAAACTTCAACTTCATAGCTGGAAGAAGTGAACTTACCAAACAATGCAGGACGCATGCTCAAAGTTTTTATTTTATGAACCTTACCGCTGACCAGCTGCATTTCACGTACGTAGCCAACCTATAATTCAATTGYAAACCGTGAAATTTAACGTGAAAGTCATGAAWGAAATGATATGTAATAAGCGCAAAAAAACTGAGAAAGCAAAAATAAGSAAACGAAACAAAGGGAAGCCTCGGAATTAGCTTAGCTTTAGTCTAGCATGATAAGGTAGTTATGTTTTGGGCTGTAAACACGTGTCACGGGGGTAACACTACAACAATCAGAACATTTCCTTTCGCGGAGCAGAGAATAACGACATTAAACCCGAAAAAGTGATATTTATTTCATTACAGGTTAGACTCAGCTTACTTGAATCTCAACCAAGAATATTCGCTCACATGAATTACAAAAATTGATGTCCAAACCACTTTTTAGAAGTACTCATAAAAATGCAAAAAAAAAGAAAAAAAAAATTGAATGAAGAGTGCTTATTTCATTATATATGATCATTTTGAGTTGAGTTTTACTCTTCTGAATAATTCCTTAATTATACATATATATTGTTAAATAAACAGTAGTTGAATTGATCTATATATGATATCAGTACTACAAAACTAGACGAAGAGACTCGAATGCACGAGCTTGCAGTGAGTGCTAGGAMTATAGAAGGTTTCCCTCCAAAAGACAATTAATAGTGCTTTCGCCGAGTTATTTTATAATCCTTAGTTTGATTTTCATCAGATGGCAATGAATRTCTTCCTTTTGTTCGTGTCCACCTTTTTTAAAATTATCAAAAATGAGTGGTTTCTGATGATTAAGGTTAGCGGATATTCACAGAAAGACAAATAAATAAAGACTGCACTATACGCTGAGAAAAACTGTTGTTACCTCGACTGGGTCAAGTCTAGTGAGMACAGGGACAGCWCTAGCAGGATTCATCGATGTTTGATCTTTTTCAAGGATGTTGTTTTTTTCACCATGATATTTCCCCAACCAAAACGAAAACAGCATACTGCACAMWACTACTAAMGCAGTAAGCAATTGAGATATCGAAACGGCCATAGTCTTTTGACTGCAATAATAATATGAAATATAATCACATAAGTGATGTTTAGTCGAGCTCTAAGCAGCTTGTAATAATCTAAAAAAAATGCCATAATCACGCTGCGCTATGATTGGTCAAAAATGACGTCATATCATAGTCATCTGACTGCAAATGCACTTGAATGCGACATTTTGTTCGAATTTCATAGAATGTTTGTAAACATTTTAGGAGAAAAGTGAAATGAAGGTAGCTGACTGCCAACAATTTCCGGTGTTTGTTTAGMTTTTAAAGCTCCATGAAGTCAGCTAAGACCACTTGAAAAACAAAAGTTTTCTTTCTATCGTTTTCTCTTATTTTTGTTCTATTGGATGAATCATGTGTTTGTCAGGGGTTTTAAAAAAAGACATTTTTACCCGCAAAGTCTAAATTGCTTTTTGTTTCAATGATATCTTCCGTCTCAAGAAATGGTTAATATTGCGCAATACAAGATGGCGGCACGAAGAATATATCAAGCTGGAAAAGTTCTTTTTTATTAGCTGAAACTTTAGTATTTTTGAGTTAAAAAAGTCAATTTGATTTATGCTCATTCACTAGAGTTTACATTGATAGGCGATTTGAAAAATAGCTGTCTCCTTGTCGTGGTCACGATTGCTTCGTGAAATCAACTGCACAATTTTTTAAAAAATAATTTAAATATTAAGAAATATTGACCTTATTACAATAGATACAACTGGAACATTGTAAAACAATAGAATTCGATACAAATTTGTCAGAGTATTGCCGGGACAAGTATGGAAGTCTCCCTTATCTATCTTCCACATATTTAGGAAAATGTCATTCAAATGTAGTGTACCCAAAATCCCCTTTGGCCTTAGTAGCTTCATTGACGTCAACCATTTTAAACTATAATTAGGGAAATGTGATTCACCCAAAATACCCTTCGGCCTTTAGTAGCTTCAATGGCGTCAACCTTGTTAAACTTGACGTGTATCAATAAGCTGAGATAATTATAATTACAATACAACGATTCAGTCTAAAAATCCATTTTTCGTATAGTACACTGGATTTATTCAAAAAAAAGGCAATTTACTCGTTTCTTTTGTTCTTTCATAAAGCCGTCAGTATTGTTTGTTTATGTAAAAATCTAAACATATATGTTTATTTATATTATAACACAGGAAGCTCCAAATCCGTTCTAAAGTTTTAAAAATCAATGTCGTTTTCCAAAAACAAATCAATCTTTTCAAACTGAGTTACATTTTAAAGCATGTCTAAATTTTTATAGATACATATTCAGCCTTTCAAGAAAACTTTCACCGTCTTCATTAAACAAGATTGAAGTCCCATTTATGAAGACGTTAATAAGGTTTTCAAGCATTGTTTATGTTAAGGACATCAAGGAAGACACTCTACTTATTCTTCCTCTCAGCAAGCAACTGTCAAATCCAATTCCTCATATCTGAAAGTATCGTTTATTCAGCTTTACAGCTACTTCAAACGTTACGATGTCTTAGTAAGGATACAACGTCACAAGGGCAGCTCACAACTTCAAGCAGACAAACTTCAAAATGGCTGCTTTACTTCTTTTCAAGTGCTTATTTCTRCTATTCACTACCAACACGTATGGCGAAAATAGAGTATGCAACGTGTCAGACAAAAACTGTTTTTTTGAACGTTATTCGCAGTTGAAACTACCAAGAATAGACCCAGTAAAGGTATAAGTACTGCAATTATGTCGCCAAGAAACTGAATGTGAAAATAGGCCTTGTGATACTATCATTTTTTTCTTATCTTCTTGTCCAGATTTATTTTTTGCGCCCTTAAAATGTATAGAAGTTTAGAAAATATTCTTCTTTTACATGGTACATAATTGAAAACCAGTGAAACCAAACACGCTGACAAAGAAAAATAAATAAGTAAGATAAGTAGTATGTTTTCAAAGAGCGAATTCTAACTTTTTCTTGGAATTCTATTCAAGGTTTCCTCAAAAAAGTTTCCACATAGACAAATAGATTATGTAAATGAAATCACACTATAAATCTAATATCTGACAGACTATTCAAAATAAACATAATTGATCATTATGTTTTTGCTTCGACAAAAATGTTGTTCAAAGACTCATTGTTACCATACTTTTCTTCAATCAGGTGAATTTAAATGAGATAATCTTGTATATTATCTTCACATTATCATTTAAAAAGTATATTGGACCTAAACATACAAATATAAATCTATTGGTCCCGCTGGGCAGCTAAGAAGTATTAGACGCTTCAATGCACGCTTAATTGCCAATTTGTCACAAAGCACTTTAAACTCGATTCTTTGCGATTTTCTTACGATATTTCCACTAAATGGACTCGTTATGGCTAAAAGAGACATAAAAATATTGAACTRGAAAYACGAATGTAGAAACTTATTCATTTTGAAATAACGCTGCYTTTTCATCATCTGTGCAGCTGGACTAGCCTACAATGACATGAAAAAGCTTTTGTTTAGGTTTTCACCACTTTAATTTGAATCTTTTTGTTTTAARATCGGATATTTCTAAGTGTATTTGGTTGCTTTAAGGGCAGTTGTGGGTTTGTATTTCCTTAAGTTTACTATCATTTAAGTTAGTATCGATTTACGAAGAAATCTATACACCATCAATTAATTAAAAATGATGCTAAAATTGTGCACAGTTAGTTTCTTGGTTTTAATTCATCATAATTAACTGTTTCCTGGCTTACGACTTACTAAATGATGGTTGAATTAAACCGGAATCAGTCATCGAAAAGTAAATGAATAAAAATGAATGGAAGGATGAAGAACGAATGGATAAATAAAAGCATGGACATATGAAGTGTGGGAATGCAGTTTGTTATTGATCTGTTTTCATTTTTTGTTCGGTGTCGCTTCTTTGACTGAATTAATTGTTTGTTTTGTCTCTATGGTCGTTAATTAATTGACTTTGTCTGTAGGTTGGTCACGTGCAGATCGTTGAGCTCGAGGCAAATAAAACCTTCATAATGAAGACACTTGCCCTACGGCCACCGATATTTGGTAAGAAAACACAGGATGCCCAAAACAATAACAGTCAGCCATGGAAACTAGATATAACAGGAAATTGGAGTGGGAGCTGGAATTTTATATAATTTTGTCTAAGTACGAAAAAGATGCCCGAATAAGAACCAAACGTATGATTTTATTTAGAAATCGAGCAGTTTCTTTCTGGTGATGAATGTGATCATATTATCAAGTTGGCAACGAAGCAAGGTTTGGAGATGTCGTCTACGATGAGAGAGAGCATTGAAATAGATGTGAAAAACCTTGGCCACAACACGAAAGAAGAGTTTAATGAATGGGATCGAAATAAGGATAAACTAGTGGACATATGGGAGGTTTGTCGATCATGATAATTAACCAAATGAAAATAATTCTCAATGTTGACAGTGAATCATCTGCAGGTTCAAAAAAGCTTGGAAGTTTTAGTGGACTTTACGACTGACTACGAGACAATCATGAGAATGTAAGGAGATAGTTACTTGATTTGATGCTTTGAATAAAAATAATCGGCTGCAAAGGAGTGACTATTAGTGTAATGACGTCCTGGGCTCATAGAACTTCATTCTCATGCAGAAAGATATATTTGACGTCTATTATTGTTTGAGATACAAAATGACTTTTCTCTTTCAGGTTCATGGACACAAACCTTGATAGGAATGGTGATGGTAAGGAATTATTGATAGCTTGAGATGTAGTTTGTTCAATATCAATTATAACAGAACAGGACTCCATTGCTATGAACGCAAATCGGCCTGTTCACCTCATACATAGTTACAGCTTGAGAGATTAAAAAATAGTAGTTTAGACAGATTCTACATAAAGCGTGGATTTCACTAGCACATAAGCATAGCATAAGCACAAGCATGAGAATCACATGCGTCAGTGAGAACGGGGCTCGACATAAGCATAAGACATTGAGAATGCACATGAGAGTATTATTTCGGTACCAGGCTATGCTTATGCCTATGCAGTCTCGTTCTCACTGAACATAAGCATGAGATAAGCACAAGAAGATCAAGCCTTGCTCGTTTTTCTTGTGCTCATGCTTATGCTTATTTTGAGYCCGTTCTCRCTGGCGCATAAATGACTCTCGTGCTTCGTGCTTGTGCCTATGCTTATRCGCTAGTGAAATCCACGCTTAATAGGGTAATTTACTAGACCTGACTTCCCATATTCCTAGTCCTAGTTAATGAGAACTAGTACGATACTACTACTATGGACATTGACAAGTGTTTGGCTATCGAGCTATAGATTCACTATTAGTTGCTACCTAATTTGTCTATTTTAAAAATGCTTGTCTATGCTCTCTGATACGTAAGTGTACGTTGTTTTCTGTGTTTTTAGGTAAACTAGATTTGGAGGAGTTTTTAATTCGTAATGCGACAGCAATGGCAGAGTTTATTCATCAAATCAAACATAATCAGCCACACACCAAAGGTCGACACAGCCAACAAACATGGCTGAAAGACGATAAGARYAACGATACTGTGATGTTGAGAATACAGGAAAGGTTAGACTAAAGATGAAATATGATAATGAATAAAGGAATGAAAGAATAAGTTTATGAATAACTAAACAATAATAAATTAATAATAACTACTGGCCTAGTAAATGAATAAATGATTTCATGAAACCACGAATGACAAAGTATGGACGGATAAAAAAATCGAACAATGAATTCACGTACGATCAAGCTGGCCTACATTAACATATATACAAGTACTGTTCCCACATTTTTTCTTTACTAACTTCATTTTTCTATAATTATAGAGTGCAAAGATTAACCAGACTCCCAATGGAACTCATCCAAGCCAGTGAATATCTACAGGTGCAGTAATCAACGTATCTTTACAACAACAGCAACAACAACAACAGCAACGACAACAATAACGACAAGAACAACAGGAAAGACAAAAACAACAGGAACGACAAAAACAACAACATGAACAACAGGAACGACAAAAAACAGGAACGACAACGACAACAACAACAACTGGAACGAGAACTGGAACGAGAACAACAGGCACGACAAAAACAGCAGCAGCAACAAAAACAGGCCGACGACAACGACAACAAAGACCACAATAACAATACAAAAAACAAAGGATAATGTAGTAAGGAATCCATTTCATTTGATTTAAGGTTGTCAACTATGGACCAAAGGGTCACTACAACTGTCATTTGGACTCTGACTTTACAACGCCAAACCTTGAATGCTGTCATTTAGTAGGAGTTGACACAAGCAACTGCCGTGTGTGTAGGTCAGCGGTTATTCATGATTATATACCTCATTACTGAGTACTAGCGAACAGTCAGTAGTATAGTAGGTTATAACGTTACTGCTTTTGATAATATGACCAGGTTATAATGTATTTTATTTAATCAATAGCTTACTGTGGGATTTTCTTACAAAATAAAAAAATCCAGGTATCTAACAGTCCTGTATTTTCTAAACGATGTCGAAGAAGGTGGAGAGACTGCTTTTCCACTTGCTGACAACAGTACATTTGATGAAATGGTAAAGTTATGTTATGATAATAATTATAGTGACGTATGGCTTTTTTTGTGTTTATATTCTATGTTATTGGGCTTCCTGTGTGCTACCCAACCCGCGTTCATTGTTGCATGTTTTTCACTATTCGACATTTTGTTTCTGTGGTTGTACGTTTTTCTTAGCTTTAATAACTCTTTATAAATTCTCACTAACCCTTATTCATCTAGACCTGGATACGAGACGACCAAGGACTATGTAACCTCGCCAAAAACTGCCAGAGCTCCAACGTGGTTGCTAAGCCAAGTAAGGGCAAGGCAATCATGTGGTACAACCATCATGTCGATAAGACTACCCACTGGATGGGTATACTGGATCATTTTTCATTCCACGGCGGATGTGACGTCATAAAAGGCCGGAAGTGGATAGCCAACAATTGGATTGGAGTTAGTAACAATAGGGAACAAGATATATGGAACTGGATCGATTTAGCACAATCTAATGACCAAGAATCCAATGCAACAGTTTCTAGTAAAGAAAAAGACGAACTTTAGGTCATTCATAGTTAAAATATTGTGAACACCGCTGTACAGAGTTGTGATGTAATAATGAATATGGTGTAAGCAATTATACAGCGGTGCTGCCCATTAGAGCATGGCAAGAATCAGTAAAAATGATAATTTATAAATTGCAAGAGGAGTGATTTTATAAAAACACAAGTCTTTGTGATTTTTGATTGCCTGACATTTAGTTTTTTTCGGAACACTCCGTCAGGCAACTGAAAAATCTCAAAGTGCCGTACTTGTGTGAGCTTTGTCGAACAGTATTAAGGGGTCTATTAAAAAAAACACAAATAGATTGCCTGAAGTTTAGATACTCCGTATTTTTAAATATTTAATTGTTAAAATAATTAGTGCAGTTGAGTTTATGAAGCAATCGTGGTTAAATCGTAACCATCCTCCCACGGCAAAGAGAATGCAAGTAATTTCTCAAAAGCGGCACCTCTCAATGTGAACTGAATGAGCATATATCAAATTGTTTTTTTTTTTTCAACTAAAAGAAATACTCAAGTTTCAGCTTAATTAAAAAGAACGTTTCCATCCAGCTTGACATGAGACGGAAGATATCATTGAAACAAAAAGCAATTTAGACTTTGCGGGTAAAAATGTMTTTTTTTAAAACCCCTGACAAACACATGATTCATCCAATAGAACAAAAAYAAGAGAAAACGATAGAAAGAAAACTTTTGTTTTTCAAGGGATCTTAGCTGACTTCATGGAGCTTTAAAATCTAAACAAACACCGGAAATTGTTGGCAGTCAACTACTCTAATTTCATTTTCTCATCAATTTTTTTCAAACATTATGAAATTTAGTCTCCTCGCAGCCGTGTTTAGTTTCGGTCACGCGTCACGCAAGACGCGTGACCGAAACTAAACACGGCTGCGAGGAGACTATATGAAATTCAGACAAAATTCCAGAGATATTCAAGTACATTTGCAGTCAGACTTTCATATGACGTCATTTTTGACCAATCATAGCGCAGCGTGACTTTTGCATTTTTTAGATTTCCAAGCTGCTTGGAGCTCGACTAAACATCACTTATGTAGTTATATTTCATATTATTATTACAGTCAAAAGACTATGGCCGTTTCGATATCTCRATTGCTTACTGCTTTAGTAGTAGTGTGCAGTATGYTGTTTTCGTTTTGGTTGGGGAAATATCATGGTGAACAAAACAACATCCTTGAAAAAGATCAAACATCGATGAATCCTGCTAGAGCTGTCCCTGTGCTCACTAGACTTGACCCAGTCGAGGTAACAACAGTTTTTCTCTGCGTATAGTGCAGTCTTTATTTATTTGTCTTTCTGAATACCTAACCTTACAAGACCAATCCCAAATTCGCTCGGATGAACACGAAACAATGGCTTGGTCTATTATCAGAAACCACTTATTTTAGTTATTTTTTTAAAAAAAAATGAGGACACGAACAAAAGGAAGATATTCACTGACATCTGATGAAAATCAAACTAAAAAGGATGATAAAATAACTGCAGAATGCAGTATCAAAGACAGTAAGATATCACCTCATAGAAAAATTGTCGTATTCCACAAAGGTGATATCACCGAAGCTGAATTTAAGTTCACAGAAATTCGAATCATATTTACCTAAACATGATCACAACATACTAGATCTAGGAGAAGATTATTACATTCAATGCAGGCCATCTTTTGATGATAAAACACGGTTATCGTGGCTTTCCCATGATCCCTTGCGGTCCTAGCTTTGATAATGAACATTTTGAAGACGATATTTTTTTAAATTAGTTGTACATCATACGTCAAAGCGAAGGTCAGGCGTGATTATTCAAAAAGCAATCGATTTTTTTGTTCTTAGAGACGTCCTCGAGTGAGAGGAGGTATTCCAAGTGAGAGGAAGCTTTCGCATGTGGGTGATAATCCAAACACAATCGCCAAGTTCCGAGTAAATCGTAAAATGACAAATTTTCTCATCATGGACCGACTCATTATCAGACTTTAGCCACTTTCAGATTTCCGCCTTCGTGGCAGGCGGTTTATCAACATAAAGATTGTCTAGGCATTCTCGCATCGAGCAAAGTTCTATTAAAAGCTCTACTCTCTCATAATGAATGGGAATAATTCTAAGAGCAAGGTCGGCACAATTTCTTTCGAGTTCTTTCCGTTGGTTATACTGCTTTAGATCATAACGATGTCTTTCTAACTCGACTCTTATCCACGTCTCTCATCTCTTCGCCCGTTTTTTTTTATTCTATTTTCTTGGATTTTAACTTATATATTTTGTTTGCTTTTTTTGTTTATAATTTCCATAAACTAGTATTTCAGACCGCTAGTTTTAAAGCCATTAATTATTATCTGAAATCGAGTAACGCGAAATGTTTACTTAAAGTGGTTTTAATAAAACTTTTACAGCAAAGGCACCGAATCACCCTTTTAGTAATAATTTCATCCATGACYAAAAAAAATTAAAATATCACCCATCGATGTCTCCATGGGGGTGRAACTGAATAAGTGGTTTACTTCTGACCAAAGCTTTGAGAAGGAAATTGTTGACAAAATAGAAAAACAAGCAAAAAGAGAAAATTGAACAGTYACAAMAACAGAAACAATAACWGAAAAAAKCCACTAACAGAAAATGTAAGAATAACTCCAATATGGAAGACTTATCCTATTACAGATCAATTTTGTCTTCTAAATTGAAACTTGTTTCCAAAGCTGTTCTTAAGGCTATTAAGATTCAATTAATCACTCGCCAGCATATTTGACACTTATAGAATGAGAAATTGTGATGTTTTTCAAGTGCTTAGAAATGAGGAAAGGAGAGATTAAATGATTTGATCTCTGTACACCTTTTCATTTCATAAAAGTTATTTCAACGAGTTTCCTGTTTATTTATCCATCTACTGTTATTATCACTTAATCTGTTACGCATAAATGGAAAAATGTGAAATAACAAGAAATGAAGAAATGGAAAAAAAAAGGGAGAAATGTTCAAGCGTGTGTTAGATAACACAACAGGAAGTAGGTGAGGAAGTTTGAGTTTCTTAAGATATCCTTGACGACTATTTCAACAAAACCATGTTATCTTATCATTTCGACAGTGGTTTGTGATGTTTCTCTATTACACACTGCAGCACCAGCAATGTCTGTATTCCTTGTCATCTCTGTCTTTAGTCAGTTTTCGCAATGAACATGAGTTTTTTGTTTGTCTATAATACATGACAGTGTCAAACCAGCTGTCCGTAAAGGCTTTCTATGTCAACTTATTATAATTTCAAATATCGCCATGTGACGTTTGTACATATATATCGATATATATAGACACTGTTATATATAGGTGTACACTTAGACTTAAAAACCGATTTACAACGGCCACTTTGGCTGCAAATTACAGCTAAAGCATGTCTCCCCAGTGGATTCGTGTAGCTGGAGTGTTAGGGACGATTCTGAGTGTTGTACTAGCAATTTGGTGGGCTAACCTACATAACTTATACCACAGTTTCTTGCAGAAAAAGGATTTTCCTCTTCTCACTAGACTCGACCCAGTTAAGGTAGGCAAAAAGGTCGACTTCCAGCCGTGAAGAAAACTAAGTATTCTGACAATTTCTCAAAGCGATGGTATAAAGATGTTTGTATGCTTGGCTAGTCTTACAGGGAAAAGAAAAAAACTATATTAAACAAACATCAGAGATCATACATTATGTAGTTACCTCTCCTATAATTTTCGGTAATAATCGTAAGATTCTTTTTTTCATTAAGTGGAAACCGAATTAAATGAATTTATCTACTGAGCAGGTTTTGTATACAAAGTGCAACTAATATACCGATATAGTTGGCTTTGTTTTCCGTATCCAAGCACAATGGTTTCATTTCAATAATATCGATGTTTCAATACTGTATTTTGATCCATTCATCAACAAACTTTAGATAACACCTTACAAAGACGTTCATGGCTTAGTTCATCTGTGTCTTACAAATTATATTGCCATAAATTCGTGAATAACTTTAAACACACAGCATGAAGAATGAAAGCGACTGAAGTGAAACCGTATTTTGTACAAAAAACAAACATCTGGA